GGTTCGGAAGCCATAGACATGCCTTGTTCACGAAGTTTAATCATCTCTAACTTGGCATTTAAAGTAAGAGGCTTACGACTCCTCTTTTTATCGCTACTACCCTTAGACGCCATTGTAATTACACTGTAGTAACACAAAAATATTATATAAATATACAGTTTGTAATAACGGAAAAACTGCCAGAAATACAGAGAGACGCGGAGCACACAAAAGCTGTAAACAGACTGAATCAGCGACGAGAAAATGGCGCCGGACGCACTTCTCTGACTCAGCTGTTGAGCGCCATATTAGCGGATCGCCATAAAGCGGAGCGCCGAAAAGCGGGGCCCTACTGTATATACCATCTGAGCAGTGGCCTCCTGGTTGGCTGTCGCTTTTTGTTAATCTACCTCCTCTCTTCCCGTGCTTCGTCCCTCGGACCAGAACACTAATGTTTCTTTTTTTCTTTCAGGTGCAATGAAGTTGACTGTAGGATTACCAACCCCACGAGTTAATCGGAAGGTTATGAAAGGATTGGCCACAAAGCGAACAGCTGTCGGCCAGCAGCGACTCATATCCGGTGAGAACGTGTTGAATTCACTTCATCTGTAGGAATGAAACGTTGACTCTAGATATGAAAATTATGTGTGTAGTCGCTTTACTGATAGGCCCTCCCACTCATCTTTATCCAACATTCTTGTGAGAAGTGACGGCTCAGTGGTGTCTTAGGTTGTGGATTGTATGGTCTGGTTCGATTCCCAGTAAGGCACAGGGAGATGTGTGTCTGGTGGTAAAGCGATGGCTCCATCCAGGAACAAGGTTACGTGTATGTGGAGCACGTACTGAAGTGGGAGGCTGTAATGACTGTGGTTTGATTACCGTAAGGGATTTTGTGATTTCTGTTCACCTTGCCGAGTTCGGCTGTTGGAGCCCGTCAAGCCTCCTGTGCTGCGGATACTGCGCCATTTTTTCTGGTAGGATCGTGAAACTGAAGAGTCGAGTTTTACCTCTACTACAAAAAACGTTTTTGGCCATATACTCATACATTTTACGTACATTGTATCATAGATTTGGAATTTACATCAAAGCATAGGTTGATTATTCAGAAGCTAATAGTCGCGTAGGTATTCAAGAAATTCCATGTGTTTTATTGAACCCGCAACTCATTCATTATCTTGTTTACCAGTGACAAGCTGCAGATCCATATCTTGAGCGAGTCGGATGCAGTTTACATCCTTGTCGTAAAGGTGAATAAATGAGGCAAGAATTCGTCTTGTCGATTGTCTTACATTGCTCCTTCAGTATATTCGCATCTGCCCTGAGGACGCCCCATGACGTGATGATACGGAACTCACTTAACATGGACATACTTAGCTAATTCCGAAATAAAAGTGACAACCAAAACCTCGTTCAGGTAAAGATGGGAGCCCTTAATAATTTCAGCGTAACATTTATGTTTACGAGACAAGGAAGTTAATAATCTAGGCGAAACAGAATTGACGGTTACGGACATTTGTTAGTAGTGACGTCATTGATGACTTATGACGTATTTGTAATAATTGTTTATGTAAAAATATGATCTGACGGCACGAGGTAGACTTGAAACCTGATTGATATTGCTGGGTTTTCGGTAGTAACGAGCTAAACATTGTCGTCTTTGATTCTTCGTTTGCACGAGAAGAAGCAGTTCGGCCAAAACAGGCCCAAACCAGAACCTTTTGGGCCTTGAATATAAACATGAAACGGTTCCGCTGCATCGAAGTGCTCGGTCAGCTTGAGGGACCGAGGAAAATCGCGATAAACAGGCGTGTGGGCAGGGGCTGAAATCGTAGTTGAAGCAGAAGTGCTAACCATTTAACTGCCACGTTCGGTATAATAGCTTTCAGATTTGAGGCAACGTGTTAATTTGCAAGCTGCGTCATGCCAGTTGGAGTGTCCTTGTGTACTGTATCTGCTAATAGAGGTGTTTTGCGGAATATTGCATGCGTTATGTAATTGTGGAGGCGTGTTTGCTCGCTTTATGCACCAGACCCTTATCAGCCTCTTTTCATGTTGGAATTTGGTACCGTACGACCTCAGATCCCTATTATGTGACAGTATGCAAGCACTGTTGTATGTGTTTCCATGTTATTTGCCCGTGTGTGTTTATCAATACTTAACAGATTTTGATTATATTTAACACTGACTTGGTTCGATAAAACGTCAGTCGTATTAAATTGTAACACATTTGACAATCAGATCAAACTGTGACACAAATTGACGATCAAATCGCGACTTTATTGTTTTCAAGGTCAGATATTTATTTGATTCAGGATTCAGCGTATTATAAAGTGTTTTTTCATTTATAATCGCATGATAAATTAAACATGCCGAGATTAATTTCTGTGTGCTCTATATAGCAAGTGGTAACACTGTAAACGTACGATTTGTGCCGTAAGAATTATATTTGACGTAAATAAAATGGAAAAACCGCTCCTATAACTAGATGAGATTTTGGATCTTAAATGTTTGTGTTCTGATGTATGACTTGCGCCATCACGAAGGTTTGTACCAAGGGACTTTCTAATATTTTTCAACCATTTTCGGTCCACAATGGACAACCACTTTCCGCGAAATTCCAGGTGAAGCAACACCTCAACAAACAAGCTTGTTGCCAAGGAAATGTGCCGTGGGAATATAAATACCTTCGTGCAAAAGGTGCATTCAGAATAGGTGTATATAAGCTATGGACTATAAACTGGACACAGCGGCTGAAGATTTATTGCAAATGCTCTCCTTCTGTGTCATTCCACTACGCCTAACCTCAGCGTAATTTATAACCCGATACATGAAAATTTGTGCAGGTGTTACACATCCTTTTAGCCATCTTCGTATCTGACCGTCTTATCACCAGGTTCACTGCAGGCATTTATATTATAAGACAATTGATCAAGTTTCATAACACTCGGTCTGAACATTATGCCATTTTAAGTCCTCCATACCTTACTAGTTTTAAATTCAGACAATAATTTAAATATTTATACTGAAGAAAATCGTAGCATTGAAGCAATATGGTTGAAGGAAAGCAACTGAAAGGTAAGTGGGGGACTACATTAATTTTGGTTAGGTTGTATTTAGTTTAAAAAGGAAAGGTAAAAAATTCTAAAGTTGCTTTTGGAGACAATGGCTTGTGCTTATATGAAATTGACATTAGGGATATATAGAATGTCTAATAATGATTTTATGTCAGTACTTCTGAGGTCTTTCCGTGTCAAAAACGTCACACGAACATGGATTCGATTCTCAATGGTTATGGAGCTGCTATCTTTTGAAATTCAGGATTGCGTCTTGTGACACTGAAAATGTGTTTGTGTAGTTCCTGTCTTCTGTTTACTTTGCGCTTGTGTTTCTCATGAAAATGCAGGGGAGTGAGGTCCAGAGACCGCAGTGGTTAATTCTGCGGAACACCACAACCAATCTATCGTTCAGGGAACTTCCCGTAATTTTAGAATTTTACACGACCTGAGGATCATTTGGCCCGAGCCTAACGTTTATCTTCATGTAATGGTACCCACGCCACACTTAAGCCCGACTTTCTTTTAATCCAGCCCGCATGAAGCCCGATCTATTTTACATTCTTCCCTGACTATCGTATCACAAAAACATTTTTCTTTTAATACATAAATGCCAGTAATACCTGTATGAATTATTTAACGACTCTTTAAAAGCATCTTAGGTTCTTTTTGCGTTTGAGGTATGGTACAAAGCAACTGGATGCCAAGTTTTGGGTGCAGCGAAGAATAACTCTTTCTTTACGAAAACAGGATGCCCCGAGAAACCCCGAAATATTCATAAATCTTTGATTGCTAGCATTTGAACCAGGGCCGGCCGTCGGACTCGTGCAGACGTCTACGTTCAGGTACTCACCTCTTCATGTGTCAACTGAAACGTAGGGGTGATTTGTCACACTGGAAGAACATCTGTAACCATGTTTTGTGGCGATGAGGAAGCATGAATACCCCTGATGTTCTGCGTAAGGTTCATTGTAAGGATCATCTTGAATTTAAACTATCCATTCTCCATAACCATTGAGAATTGGACATCCTGTTCACATATTTCTGACTTGAAATAATCTCAAGGGGTTTGAAGTATTGACATGAAGTCGCCAGACACTCAATGAATATGTTACCTGAAACTGGTTTGCTGTGACAGGTTTGTTAGGTCAGTCTCGCACTTACCTCCATCTCAGAATCCCCACCTTCATTCTCTAAGCTATGTATTAACATGTATGACCAGTATTTGGAGTATGTGTGGGTCTAATTCTGGTTGCAAATGACTGTCATGTCTCACAACATTTTCCCTGAACTACAGATAAATGCTAAAATAATACCTTGAGTAGAGGGTAGGTTAACACATCTGTAATATATATCTTGACGGAGGCCAGTGGTTATCTAGCTTGTGACAGTACTGAAGTTTTTGGTTAATAAACGGAATTACGAGGTTACTTAGCGACAGTGTTGAATGAATAATTCCATCACATAACCACTTGCCTCGGGTGAGATATAACCGGCTGATGTTGGCCATTTACTCCTGTTTGTCACAGTTTTGTTCCACAAAGTTGCAGAGAGTGGAGTTATGTAAATGAAAAGAAAATTCCCTTCTCTCCTAGCATGCCTGCTCCGCCACCTACACATTGTTCTGTTCTCCTTCCTCTTTACCACTCTTAATCGGCTAGCAAGCAGTTCACGTTAACGTGAATGTTGTTGGTTGAAGATTGGCCTGAATTAGTAAAGTGCGTTAAAATTAAATTGAATATTTTGAACACTTTTATAATGTGAAGTATGTGTACCTGACTCATCTCCCAGTCAGATATTTATCCAGGCAGAAGGTTGCGATTTTCTGACACTCTCCTTAGGATTGTATCTCAAAGTGGGTGAAAATTCCTTCCTCGTACATCCATACAGATTCATGCTTCATATTCATCCTATTTCATCTTATTCTGTAGTACATAAAATTAAGAAGGTTGGCATAGTGGTAAAACTGTACTTGTATGTGGCATGTACAGTCCACAGACGAGGAGAAAATCCCTGATAGGAATTCAATATACGCGCATGCGCAAGATTTCTCGCGGAGTGACGACCCATCCTAAAAGCATTCGTTCCACAACCACTGAACGAACAACAGACAACAGGCTTTCATGTGTTCTAATGGTTACAGCATTAAGATTACCTCACAGTAGCACAGTGATTTAATCTAGAATATTATCACAACACCCACAGAACACAGTACAGACGCACTCAATACACGCCACATTTAACTGCTTGATGTTTTCAGTCTGTGTGTAGTAGTGTAAAACTCTGACGTATCACACTTCCTACCAATAGCAGCCCTCTAGTCCACTTGATAGTAAACATTCCCCCTGCATCGCCCCAGAAACGACTTCCCCCTGCAGGGCTTTTCTCCTGGTCTGTGGACAGTAGCAGGTTTGAATCTCACATGGGCTACTGGCTGTCCTGATATTAAGTTCATATGATTTTCCTTAGTCTGTAAGAAAATGTTGGCATATGGCCTTTCAATATGCCTTGATTGCATCCTTTCATA